GGAGGAGCTGAGAGGGGAAGGGCCGGCCCGGGGGGCAGGGGGGGGGAACCTCATGGACAGTCCACTGCTCGTGGATTACTTGACTGGCCCTCGAATGAAAAGTAAATATTTGAAGAAAACAATCATCTAAAACTGTGCAGAAGGCTTGCTTTTAAAACCTGCTAACATCCAGGGTAATCACATGTTCTGGAAGCCGCGATAGCCACCAGGAGCCTTTTCTTGCAATTTTACAAAGACATAGAGACTAAATATAGAGTAATATTATATCTGTATCTGTTTGTGTTAAATGTAAAGCAGATACGAAATAAAATAAAAAGAAAACAAGCCATTTTTGCAAAGCAAAGTGTTGAATGCTAAATGCATCATTTTTTGTTTGATATAGTATTTTCTCTCTAATGTTTGTATTTGGAATGCTTCAAATTTAAATACCTTCCTTATTGGGTTGTCCACTATTCAACAACAAATTAAATGAATTTTAAGATGGGAAGTGTTAAACTATCCATTAAATTTAGAGTTGAAATTCTGGCTTGGATGGGCAGGTAAGGGACAGTGTCTTTTGCTGTTAAGGCTCATTTCTGCAGGTACCTGTTACCCTCATCCACAGGATTTAACACTTCCACTGAAAAACAGTGAGCTCCGTTTAGCACTTACTTTTACTTTGCATTCCTTTAGAGACACTTAAGTCTATAGTTATGTCATGGAAAGTCAAGGGGTAGACAAAATTTGAGTGAGTAATTTCAAGAGCAATAAAAATTCTCATAAGAAAATTCTTAGTATGTCATATAAGTTCCTACTTGACTTTCTCATACGTGATGCTATAAATAACATGTTTAGCGATGCTTTAATGTATGATGACATTACAATCAACTGCTTCTGACAAGTTAGCCAAAATTACCACAAAAAAATGAGACAAATCCCCTATGGTTCTCATAAAGGTAATTAATTAGCAGCTAGTGTCCTGTACCTTGTTACCTGCAAACTGTAAAAATATCATCTAAATAATTCACTAAACTATATATATCCATAACAATTTCAAATAAATAAAATGACCTTTTTGCTTCAAAGTTTCTTTTGAACAAAACTGTCAGCTAGTGCAAGGAGCACTTTCCAAAATTACTTATAAATTCTTAACTTCCTAAATCTTTTAACACCCTTGATATTTCTGGTACATTCTATTTAAAATTGATTGGCCATGTTGGGGGGGGAGCAGGAAATGAAGGTCTGAGTGACAGGTAGACGGCCAGGCAGGAAATAAAGGAGCACAGCCGTGGGCCAGTGCTTGCCGTGCGGCCCGGGGTGGCCCCTCGGTGGCCCAGCCTGGAGGCCGGCGTAGCGGCCACCACCACAGCGGAGCGTGGAGCCGGCGGGTCTCCGCAGAGCGTGGCTGTTACGATGAAGGAGCCGAACCCACCTGCTTGCGCCTGTGATTCGGTGACAGTTCTGGGGCGCCCTCCCGCCCCCCGCCTGTTCGTTCCCACCTTCTCTCCCTCGCCCTCACTCTCCTAAGTGGGAGAGTGAACGACGGTAATGGCACACGGGCGAATTGGTGACGGGAAGGCCCGGGGACTGCCCCCAGATGGGAAAAGGCACAAAATGAAGAATAATGTAAAAATAAATTAAAAGAAAAAAAGAATTAGAATTCAAAAGCGACATCAATCGTCCAAAAGCCTTTCCGGTGCACTTTGCACCATCTGGGCGGACTTGACAGCACTGACTGAGCAGGACATTAGGTGGCCTCCTTTTTTTATTCCAGTGAAGCTGAAGACCAGTATCAACATAGATACAGAGAATGAAAAGCCATCTTTGATGCTGCATTATCAAGTTTCTGGCAAATAACTCTGAAGTTGCTCAGAGACAGGCATGGCCGTGCCGTGGCCTCAAATTTCCACCTCCTTATGGGGGCGACAGGAGATCGGCAGTGACAGCCACAAAATGAAAAGTCTCGTGGAATCATGTGAGATCCTGCAGAATGCAGGCCAGAAGCTACCTACTCATGCCTGGGTAGAAAAAGCAAGTAGGGATTAAGACAACTGAATTAAAGAACAGCTTGTCAGTAAATATCATTTTTAAACTTAAACACTTTCCAAAAGTTTAAAATTCATGCTTGTGAGCTTGTGTGGCAATTTTCAGAATAAATATTTAACACGGACAGACTATTTTTCTCAGAAACAAAAGCTTTTAAGTATTCCCTTGATAGACTGCTCTGTCTGCAGGAGCTTCGGAGACGTGTGACAGAGCCGATCTCAGACTCACAAACGTGGGCCACAGAACCCGTGCAGCGACTTTGCAGTTGGGACGGGGCCTGCCGGGAAGGCGTCATCGCTCCCCACGGCCTCCTCCTTGCACACTGAGCACTCTCATGCAACTGCTGCACCTTTGGGTGAAAGAACACGGGACGCCAACCCTGAAGCATCCCAGGGCTCTCTCTTATCAACATTCTTTGGGGGCAGGTGAACAATTTGCTGGGGAACAAACAATCTCTGTCCCGGGAGGCCCACAGGTGTGAGAAGCCACCTGCGTGGAGCCGTGGCCCAGTGTGACCTGCGACTGGTTCCACTCTGAGGAGCCACCCTGAGGCCAGGCCGGGCCCTCGGTGCCCACTCACTGCTGGCCAGTGGGGATGGTCGTGAGAGCCCGTGGGCAGGCCAGTCCCACCAAAGGCGTGTCTGCCAGGAAGGGCCATGAGCGTGTGTTCCAGAGACTTCCCCAGGCCTGGGTGTCGCCCTCAAGCAACACAATACAACCACGCTCATTAGAAATATTTTTCCAGGAATCTGACTGCAGAAGTGAGGCTGCCAGAGGCGGGGGTGTGGCTGGGGCGCAGTGGTGGGGGGCCCAGGGGACTGTGGTGGGGATGAGGGGGGCTTCGTGGGGGGTGGCATCCACATGAACAGGTGGGAACCAGCACCCCTAAATCACATACAGTCTCGTTAACCCCGGTTATGCCGGTAAAAATAGGGTCACAGAACGCGACCTTCCTTCGGCTTCCAGTGAGAAGCACCGCGGTGCGTCTGGCTGCGCGATGTAAGGAAAGTCCTGTCCGTTCGGGGCCACCTTCCGCCTGAACGGAGCAGGGACGTCGGCCACCGCCCGCCCCGCAGAGGCCGCGCTCACTGGCGCCCGGGGGGCCTCACCTGGAGCAGTTGGCGATCTCCGCGCGCGGGCCCTGGCACTGCCAGCCGCCACACTGCGGGGCCGGGCTGTCGCAGGAGCGGGTGCGGCAGAGGCAGGACCCCAGGGCGCCGCCATCCGCGTGGGTGCAGGGCGTCCACGCAGACCAGGGCCCGAAGTGCCCGTCCACGGTGAGGTTCCTCGTCTGGAAGAGAAGGCCGCGGGTCAGCACGGCCGGCGCCCCGCACGCGAGGGGCTCCCTGGGCAGATGCCCGGGGGCGCCCGACGGGCCTCAGCACAGAGCGGCAGGGGACACTGGCGGGGTGCTCGAGGCCGAGGAGGAGCCGGGAGAAGGCAGGAGGGGGCTGGGGTGAGGGGGGCAGCTTAGGGCAGGCTGTCCGCACGGGGCGGGGGGGCCCAGCAACGTCTCCGATCGCCGTCCTGTGGCATTTCCACAAACCTCAAAAACTAGCACTGAATGCTTGTGGCCAAGCAGGCACCAGCCAGCTCGCAGCACCCCCAAGCCCACTCAGCTTGACCTGGGCAAAGCACGCGCTAAACGCGAGCCGACCCCGCCCTCGGCTCGCGCACCGGACTCAGCTCCGCAGCCAGGCCCGCTCGCTCGCACCCAGCCTGGTGGCGACAAGCCAGACTCCTGCAGCTGCTGCCAAGTGCCCCTGGGCACGGACTCTCCCCAGCCAGGGGTCCCGCTCCAGGCGCCCTTACTCCTTCCCGTGGGCACTGCCTGGGTCAGCAGGGCTTCAGGCAAACAAGCGCCGTGCGTGTCCCAGGCAAGGGGCAGCCTCGAGAGCGGCGGGCAAGTGACCGAGGAGAGAGCAGAGAGCCGCCGTAAGCGACCGTGAATGCCAGCGTGGACAGGAGAGAGGATGACGGCCTGGGGTCTGGGACGCTGACAGCGGCTCTGAGGGCTGCCACGGGGCTCCTTCTCCCGCGGGCACTGCCCACTGCGCGTGGGGCGCCCGGGCTTCCACCCAGGCTACTGTGCTGACGCTAGAAAGCTGCTGAGCAAACAGAACTCGCAGGCTCGGGCAGGAGCGAGCATGTGGCACCCTGGGCACCCGAGGACACAGATTCTGCCACGCCGCTTTCATTTGAGGCACTGGCTCTGTTATTAAATATTAAACCCTAGTAAATCTCCTCGCCCCATAGCTTGGCGTGGGGCAGGCAGCGGGCTGAGGGGCTCGTGCAGCAGCCCCTGGAGACTGCGGAGCGGCTCAGATGACACCCACTTTGCGGCGAGAAGCCAAAGCCCGCGGGAGACGTGTCCGCTCAGGGTCACACTGGCTGCTCCACCCTTAGCGGTCAGGCCCTGGCCGCCCTCCCCAGCCCCGGGGGTGCAGGTGAGCTTGGTGAGCCCGGCCCTGGGCTGCCCTCCGCTTCTTCCTCCACCCAGGCATCATTCTTTTGTCATCAAATTGACATCTGGCTTTCTAGTCAAATGTTTTTCAAGGTTAAAGTATCTTCTTGTCCGCGTCTATCTTTTGTCAGCGACGGTAACAGGGTATTGAAGACACGTGTCCTTTATCTCATCAACTTAGCGTCACGGCTAGGTCCGTCTGGCGGCGGGAATGGCAGGAAAAGACGGTGTCCCCCGGGAGGGGACACCTGCAGTGCTGGGCGGCCCCTGGCCGGGCGGTGGCGGGCGAGCCGGAGCACGGGCTCTGAGCCCAGCCCTCAGCTTCAGACGCCAGGCCCTTCCCTGGCGCCCTGCGGAGGACAGCGGGCCGGTCCACCAGGAGCTGCCTGGCGCGCTGAGCACAAGGTCCAGACACACACGGAGCCTTGGTTCTCTTCCTTCCTGCCTCCCAATTTCATCGCAAAATCCAGAAATACCTGCTGCTTGATCACAACACGCAGGATGGCGGCGGGCCGGCTGGGGGCTGCCAGCGGCTCTGGGCACGGCCCACGGACCTGACGCTGCCGTGCAGAGCCGGGAGTGGCCGGGGCTGAGGTGAGGCCTGCCCCCGCCGAGCGGCTGGGGGAAGGAGAGTCAGGACTGCAAGACGAGGGTCCGTGGCACCGTCTTCTCCACGGGCTCGGTCCTTCTAAGTCCTCTCTCAATCCACGGATCACAGTTTAGCCCGAAAGATCCAGTTATTTCCAGGCCCCACCTGCTGCCTCGGTCTATGTACTGTGCTGGTTATGGCGCGGTCTACCTGAGGACAGGGTGTCCGGCATGGGACTAGTCACCAAGACCCACACAGGGCCTGGACGGCGTCTGGGAAGAACAGTAAGGCCGGGAGCGGGCAAGACCAGGCTGACCTCATGGAGCGAAATTACAGGGCGCAGAGAGACGGACGGATCCCAGAAACGTCAGTGTCGGCCTTGCCCAGCTCTCCACTTCTCTTAAATTGAGAATGACGCTTTCTGTTTCAGTTACAGAGACTCACAGAACGTTAATCAATACGTCACTCAATGGCTGCCCTGTTTTCCAGACAACAGAAATCAATAGACATTTTCAAATCAAGATCTTTTAGTGGAAAATAGGTCTTTCTTTTTTTTTTAAGATTTATTTATTTATGCATGCAAGAGCTGGGGTGTGGGCCAGAGATACAGGGAGTGGGGGATGAGAGGACTCCCCAGAGACAGAGCGGGGAGCAGACAGGCAGGAGCTCCCACTGCCGAGGGGAGCAGCGGGGAGACAGGAGGGGTCTGCTGAGCCCTGGGGTCCTTCCTGGCGGGGATCCACTCAGGCCACAGGGGCTGCTGGAAACCTCATGTGCTGAGACTTAACCCCTTGTGCCACCAGGGAGTCTTGACTATGGTTGTTTAAGTCACCGAGAACCTGGACAGTTCTCTGGGAAAGGGAGCCCCCGTCATCAGCCTGGCCTCTCGGCAGAGCAGAGGATGTAAGCGGCAAACGACAGCCTCACATGCGGCTTCAGGGGGACTCACTGCGGGGACCCAGCGGCCCCTCGTGGAGACTGACGGGGCTCACACAGAAGGGCCTGGAGTTGCCCTCACCAGGCTCAGCAGCCTCGAGCCAGTCGTGACACCCGTCCTTCATTGCCCAGCCTGGGCGCTGGCCTGGACACTGGACTTCAGTCTCATTCAAAAACCTCCAATCCTGTTCACTTCCCTTTGGTAAAAAATATGTAGAAGAGGATAGGAAAGCACCGGGTGACGGTGAGACGCATGTACTACATGGGACCCCACCCAACCACGGCGGCGAATTTTCCTTCGCAACATACTGAACCGTGATCGGTTTTCCAGTGCCAGCCACGGGCAGATCAGAAATGATACAACAGGCCCTCCCTGGGGGCGCAGCAGGTCACAGCGCAGCACTAAGAAGCTAAAGCCGCTTCCGCATGAGTTC